GTCCCTACGTCGCCTTGGTGTCATTATACATATATAAACTGCAGTAATATTGTTATTGTCGTCAGATGACAGTTGTATGTGCCCAAATTAGTAAAATTTTTAATTTTTTTTTGTTCCCGATATGAAATCGTATAACGCGATGTAGATTTATGTGCGTACTTTAATTCTAGACCAAAAACTTGCAATTCTGTAAAGCCAATTCAAAGATTCCTTAAAATGAAAAAATGTCGGTAACTACCGCCACTATAGGATCCCCTTAAGCGATCGATATATTTTACACTCTTTTTGTAAAGTAATAACTGATAATTTTAAATAAAAAAATATATTATTTCATCGTTATTTGGCAATTGCACTACTAATTTTACTAAAAGGAAGTAGAAGCTGTAGAAACACTCAACGGTTCATCATTACCACAGCATAAGTAGATATTATACTGTGTCATTATTATCTGGATATAAACTATCTAAACCTATCCTGATTAGTCTCAGTCTACAATAGGTGTTTTAAACCCTAAGCCCTAAGAAATTGACCAATCATAGTCAATTATTCTCTTCAAATTCAACTGTGATTAAACAATTTCTTCATGCTTAGGACTTAAAACACCTACTGTAGACCGGGACTTATCGATTCTTGTCCAGTACTCATGGCGCAGGATACAATATTTTCTCGGGATTGCCTTTCATCCGCCATGTCTTATTACTTATTTGCCGTTTGGAAACTACTTACACCCGGAGTGCACCCTGCCTCCACTACTATATTCACCCGAGTCTTCCTTCAGGGTAGCGTTTCCGAACGCAGCGCTATACACGCGGCGACCAATCAGAGCAATCCCCTTTACTCCCACTATTTCAAACGCTAGTGCGCTGTTGCCAGAACCCCCGCGTCCCACTACTCCCCCCGATGAAGCCATCGAACCTCCTTAAAATACCTCAGGAAATTCTAATAACAAAAGAGAGCTTTATTAAAATGTTTTAAAAACGTCTCGAGATCTACAACTTTTATCTCAAGGAAAATATCAAGTTCTATTTAAGAAATTAGTCGTCTTTAAAATTCTTGAAAACGATATCTACGACATAATTCACGTAAGAATCATGTTTCCCCCTTCAAACCAAACAACTTTCGTCTAAAGCATTTCTTTCTAAAATCACAAACAAAAAAGTTTTTGGGGGTAATCGATTAAAATGGGACACTGTATACGTATTACACGTGCATATATGTATAATAAATATGATAGATGCATAGATACTATAGATACAGATCACTTTTTCGTTCTCTTTAACTTTAGCAACATATACAAGACAGCATATACGTACGTGTGCGATTTTGGATACACCTTCTTTCTTAGAGTTTGTTCACACGAGGCGGTTTTGACGCGCGGTTGCGCTGCCGCACGTTATCGCGAGACGAGGTGCGACAAGTAGTCTAAGTACTAAAGTAGTCGCAATAAGTACTCCGTTTCACGCGGTTGCTCCACGCCGTCGTGCATACGTAACTTCACCAATTAAAGTAATTTAAATCGACCGTGACTGGCAATATATAACGTCTTTTCGATATGAACATTGAAAAACTGTGAGCCAACTTGGTTTGTCGGATTCACACAGCACTTTTTCGGATCAATCATCGAGACATTATTAATTTTGACCATGGTTTTGGTCAGTTGATGTAATTTCTAAATTAAATAGTTTTTAAATTTTATTGCGAAAAATATTACCCCAGCCAGGGTTTGAACCTGGAACCTCCCGTATACCGTGCGGGTGTCTTGCCAATTCGACCACTGAGGCTGTGGTAATATTTATCGCAATAACAACTATAAGATGGAGCACCGATTCTTAGGTCGACGGTGTATAATAAACAGAATAATAAATTTCTTTCGCCAGTATATAGAATAACAATTAAAGTAATTTAAATCGACCGTGACTGGCAATATATGACGTCTTTTCGATATGAACATTGAAAAACTGTGAGCCAACTTGGTTTGTCGGATTCACACAGCACTTTTTCGGATCAATCATCGAGACAACTACGAGACAGTAACTTTACCGTTCCATCAGTGCATTTGCTTATCGTGCTTTCAGTGCACCCGCTTATCGTGCTTTCAGTATACCCGCTTATCGTGCTTTCAGTGCACCTGCTTTATCGTGCCTTTCGTGCACTCGCTTTACCGTGCCATCAGTGCCCCCGTTTACCGTGTTACCAGTGCACCCGCTATACTGTGCCATCAGGGCACCCGCGCTCATTAGTGCGTTTGCAAATCACTGCGCCTCCGCGCGTCTGCAAATCACCGTCTCAATCACGCGAACGGTGAATGTCGCGTCTCTGTGCGTGGCTTTCCGTGTCATCGCGCGCCCGCTCAACGCCGGCGCCGTCGTTGCCTCGCGAGCGGGAAACATTATCGCATCTTGTGCGTGCTACTGCGCACCAGTGCCAGCTGTAATCGCCCTAAGTGCGCCAGCTAATTGTCCGCGCCCAAAGTGCGCCCGCTGATTAAAAGCGCCATATGTGCCATGCGTTCACGCTTGTTCCCGACGCTGTCTTTGCGACCGGCAAGCACGCACGCGTCACGTGCACCGCGCGACCGGTGAACATTATCAAATCACGTGCACGCTGTATATTTCTGCCGCGCCTGTTCTGACTGTAAAGGTGCTTAATGGCCATAAGTGTTCCTTCGCTGTACAAACTTTATTAAATTAATGTTTGCACAACTGTTACCCAAAATCAGTTGTCTTTACTCAACACCCGCCTTATCCCTGTCGGGGTAGAACCTACACTTACGCTAATTGCCGCGTTCCGATTTACGCCCGGAATCGCCAACAATTATATATCGATAGTTTAGAAAAATAGTTAAAATTCTCGCGATCCTATTAAATTACTAACAATAAGCAAAAAAAGCATCCTTTTTTATATAATAGTTTATATAATGTGTACAAACGATAACTAACTACGAAATACGATGTAAATGGCTATTGCAAAAACATGTATACTATATTTCACGTTATGTATATTGCTTAGAATCATATTTTTATGTATTTTTTAGTGGTACCGACAATTAACAAATGATATAAGGAAACTTAATTTTGATATATCTTTGTATTTTGATTATACATATGGAAAATACTTCCGAAATACAAGTTAGGATGTCGATGTATATCAATGTATACGTATGTACACATCGCTTATGGTTGGCCCCAACTTATGCCGAACCATAAAAAAAAAAAAAATATATATATATATATATATATATATATATATATATATATATATAATATATGTATATTATGTGTCGTAGGCAAATGGTTATTTTAGGAAAATAGCTTTTGACTAGGCAAATGCTATCTGCCTGGTCAAATGGCTTTCGCCCGTTTATTTGTGTTTAAATGCTATTTGCTTATAGAAAATTGATTTGAACGCTTTCTGAAGGAAAGTTGTAAACCCATGTGACATCTCATCTCGCGTGGAAGCAGAAATATGATGAGTGGGAAGGTTCGAATACTTCGAGCTATTTTATTCTAAAAGTTTACATATTTTTTATTTTATGGAGAAACGATGGATTCTAAAATTAAATATATAAAGATTATAGTGTGATTTTGAAGAGTAGCTTTCATGAGTTTATTTCAGAACAGTATAAAATAGTATATTGTACAACTAGTGGAAAAAGTGGTCGATTCTGAATGAGTGTGAAGTTGGTCGCACGAGCGAAGCGAGTTTGATCGAAACAATCAAATTGCATTTGGGCTCGACCACTCTTCCCACGAGTTGTTCATTAGTTATTTGTGTAACAAGTGTCGTAAGATGAAAATGTCCGGGTGCGGAGTTTACGCACCCGGGAATTTTCATCTTTACACACGACTTACACTCCCTATTTTATGTTGCAAGTGCCTGGAAAGTGGTCTATCACGCACGCGTAGCGTGCGTAATGGGGCACTTTCCATGCACGTGTTGCATAAACTATTTTTCCTAACAAGAGCGTGAAACAGGCCGTTTTTCGCGCTTGTTTTACAATTTCATTTCTCCACTAGTTGAGAAACGGCTCCATGTTTCAACGCTTACGTCATCATTGCAAAATGGATTGTTTTGCTTACTCAAAATAAGCGCGAAAAGCGGCCCATTTCACGCTCGCGTTAGGAAAATAAATTTTTACAACGAACTTTACGGAAAGCTGTTTTAGAAACTGAAACTAGAAAAAGTATCACAGGAGATCTATTTCTAAACGAAAGAAACGTTAAAAAATATCAAAAATTTACTAACGATGTTATATATTAATCTAGTTTTTCTACTATTTAGCTGAACAATTATTTCAAACAAAGAAATGGCACCATCGCCCAAAAAATTCAAATTATGAAAAAAAAAAGAAAGATAAAACGGTTTGAAAATAACAAAACTATAAATAAATGTGAATATTTCGTTTTTATTACATATTAACTTATTTTAAACCTAATTTAGCAAATGAATTTTACAAAGTAAATTTGTAAGTACAAAAATATAAAAAGTAAACATATAAAAAATTGATTTGCCCTAACCTATTAAACAAAAACTATTTCAATTGTCAGCAGAATGTATAGACGGACACATGCGGATATCTTTCCTTCCATTGATTAACTAATTGATTTATATTACATAAAATACAGCACATAAAATAAAACTCCTGCAGTTTAGGACATTGTTTCAAAATAACGGAACATTTATCAGGTATATCAAGTTTTATGTCAATAAGATGTAACTTTTTTAAGTTTTTGCACTGCGCTAGTAATTCCAACCGGTGATTAGTGAGGATAGAACCGGACAAATGAACTTCTTGCAAGTTTTGATAAGAGGAAAGTAATCTAAATAAGCTGTCATCATTAACTGGGTATTCTTCTCTGTAACGAAAATCATATAATTAGTACAGTATTTTAATTGCGAAGAAAAATTTCATGTAACTTATTCAAGATGCTCGCAAGAGAAGCAAACAGATTTCAATAAAAAATACAATGTGTGTTTAAAAAAGAATGTAGCACACACACTTACAGCTCAAGGTCCACTTTTTGTAAATTCTTACATTTGGCGAGAGCATTAATACCCTGAGATGTGAAATCACATGCGTCCAGTGAACATATTACTTCCAAGTCACGACACGAATTTCCCAACTCTATTAGAACTGCATCGTTTAGTGAGTCGCTATCTGCCGATAACTGACGCATCCGTTGATTATTTTGCAGTATTTTGCAAAAACGTTCGGTTCTTATACCAGTATTAGAAATGTCTAAATGTTCCAAATTATTTAGCCCCTCGAGATACGAAAATCCTTCGTCGTCTATGGCAGAATTACTTAGATCCAATTCTAAAAAAAATTTGTATTACGAATTGTTATACAATTTACCAATAATCTTAACAATTATATACATATACTATATGCATGTACCTTTCAAATTTTTGCATGTCTCTGAAGTTTTAAGTAGGACAGGATTTAAGTCGATGCCGCCACTTAACGACAACGCACTTAATCTTAAATGCGTTAAACGTTTGCCGCAATTATCAAGAAAGTTTACGAAATCATTAACATCAAAGTTGCATCCTGTGAGATCTAATTGTCGCAAATATTTACATTTAGATGTAAAATAACAAAATATATCGCACATATATTTGTCAGAGCTGATATATCGCATGTTCAAACGTGTATAGAGTTCAGGGTCCTCTGTTAAATTTTTGAAGCGTTTATCTACGTCACTCATGCAGCGTAACGTCGTCAAATCTAAATTTTTTAATATTTTTAGTAGTATTTCATTCTGCAAAGATAAAATATAAAACTTTAATACACAAAATAACATTACAATAAATATTATTATAAAAAATAGATTTTTTATAATACTTTACAGGAAGCGCCGATAAACTGCAACGTGATAGCTCCTTGGATTTATCCAATGAGAGTTTCAATCTCTTGGCACAATTCGAATTACTTTTCAGTAAAATACGACGCGGATATCTCTGATCAAGAGGTTGCTCATAACCAGGGATTACCTTCTGAGATACCTTTTTGTGCTTCAAATTATTCTTATAAGAAACCCTTCTTATGTCGCTGCAAATATTATCGAAACAAATTAATTTTTAAATTAATTTTTATTATTAACAGAAAAAATGGATTCAAATAATATTTAACGTTGACGATAATAATACCTTTTACAAATACAATATTCGGGAAAATTCTGTTGCAGATGAACTATATCCAAGTGTGCACTTTCTGAATCTGTTGTTAAATTATGAACATCGTCATAGTATGGATAGTACATGCTGTTAATTCTTTTTAACAGATTAGTTAAACTCTCGTTAGGATTTCTAGAAAGGATCAATTCTGATGTACCGATGAGCATTACAGCATCTAGCTTTGTGTAAGAGACCTGCGAACTGCTCTTAAATACCAGTTTGAGCATTTTGGTTTTAAAGTTACACGAATGCGACAACGGTGGAGAAAATAATCTTGATTTCGGAAGTACAATCTGAGACGATTCATCCCACAACTGAATCCAGTGATTATTGGAATCTTGAGCCAAAATTTGAATTACGCTTCCAGGATTACATATTTCGTACATACAGACTCTGATTGGATATACAGCTTCATGAAACTCGATATCTTTAAATAGAAAATATTATATTTACTTACTCTCTTCTCAGCAAGAGCGTATCTTCCTTAACAATATCTTATTTATCGATTTAAATATTACATACCAATAAATCTTTTTTCGCTCGTCGTATCATCATCGCTTGGTATAAGCCCATCAATGGGTCTCATGAAATCTTTGTTTTGCCACGGAGATATTGAAACAGTACCATCCTTTATCCTCTATATTAGAAAATCAAAATTGTCAAATAGTAGAGATTCTTGTAACATATAATATATAGCGATTATTTTGTACAGGACTATAACAGAGATAGGTAGTACCAGAAAATACACGTACCTTCATATCATAAAAAGGGATTGGTAAATGAAATGGTTGTCCGTAATTTTGAAATTTGGGTGGCCCAATTATGTCAGGGGCAGTATGGAATATGCTGAGACTCCTGTGGTCCACGGCAACAAATCTTTTCTTCACAAATTGATAAGTGAAGTCAACACTATCCTCTTCTCCTACGGATACTCTGCCGACATAGGGATATCGACTACAACTCTCGCAATATGAAGATTTATTGTGGGTTGTCATATTGTCTCTCTAAAAGAAGACAAAAAATATGAAGAATAATAATCCTTTCTTTTTTAGCATATGCATTATAATATCATATATATTTATAATTATAGCGTTAAGATTATATGTATAATCTAACAATAAGTTTATCTTGCATCCATTCGCATTGCTAAGTACTGACATTATTACATAGTCTGCAATTCTGCATGTGTGTGTTGAATATCATTATTAAATAATTAATTATTTTAAAGAGAATAACAGTTATTTTTTAATTTTGTTAATGTAGAAAAATGTTCTTTTATAAATCTGAAATATCGGGAGCTCTGTGTTCTTCTACTACCACGTGACACACACGTGCACGAGCACAAACGAAAGAACAAAAAATTACACAATTTAGATTGCTCACATTCGCCAGATTTACGCTTAGTTTCTAAATGACTATAAAGTTCCATTCTACAATATTCGTAAGAGTAGATGTAAGACGCGTAAGCATCAGTAAGCTATTGACTAATAAGATTTTTACAATCCAAGAATAATCGATTGTAGTTGGTCAACTTTTACTGCTTACGTTTTACCGCATACTCTTACAGTTATTGTACAATGGGTTTAAGATCTTCCGGAATGTATTTTTTATCTTACACAATGTATCTTTTTTTCTCATTCTCCGATACGCGTTATAACATATTCTACCACGTGGTGCGTTGTCGACTACGCCCTTTACGAAGTCGCGTACTAGTATTTCGGATTCGGAAAGCTTTTGCTGGGATTCGGATTAATGAGGGCAATTGCTTTTATGAAAACAAATAACAAGTATATATATTTTGTACTCGAAGTACCGGATTACAATGGGTAACGCCCCGATTGCATCATCTCACTTCACTTGCCATTTTCGTATGAAAAACAATATATATATATTTCCGAAAAATATTCACCTCCGGATGTTAATAAGCTTGTAATGAAGCCTGCGGATAACGGTTGCGGCCGGATACTTTCCCTACTCGTCGGATGTCGAACGATTATTCACGGATCACTCGGATACGCAACGTGGACCCGACGACGGTTCGGCAGGAAAAGCCCTCGCTTCCGGGTGCATATCGAAACTGAGTATACTAGGGTTGCGTTCGGAGGCCCCGGACCAATCAGGGCGTTTCCCGGGATCCCCTCTCATTGTGAAAAACGCGCCGGGCTACTGGGTAAACCGGGCTTCGGCCTAAGATCCCAGTAGTAAATTTCACCGCGTAAAAAAAAAAGGGCTGCGTTCGGAAACTTTACCCGGGTGCACCTCAGGAGGAAAATTTTCCACCCTGAAATTTCAGGGTGAATGCAGGTAACTTATTACATTTGGCGGCATTTTTTAAACTGTAGCAATGGAGTTTCTTCTTCTATGGAACTGTTCCAAATGGATTCCAATTTAAATTATTCCGTTTTCCCTAAAAAGCAATAGAAATCTAGGGAATAATTGAATTTCGATCGGAATTCATTCCAAACATTTCCAGTCGGTTCTAGTATATTCTCTGTGTCCATCAGTACTTCGTGTACAATACACCAGATATTACGTATCTTTTCTCTTCGAAGCGAGGCTGGCGAATATCGCGTATTGTGCGTTAAATACTTGAATTCGTATAGCTCCATTATCTATTCCCGGTAAACAATTTTTTATATCAAAACATTTAAATATGTATAATTATATGATATTATGTAAAATATTATATAAAATATGTCCATA